AGTTGCAATAGGAATCCTATTATGAGATACTTCGCAATGTGAGTTAATACCATGAGATGTGTGACAACTCACTAGGCAGCAATGCTCCACCATGATTGACATTCGACCAACATAGACAGTCGACTGAGTTGAGCAAAAACACACTCTTCATTTCTGCTAGCGATTAGCTACCCTAGGTAAATGATGTACAATATGACAGGCATCTTGAGCCATCGGAGACATACGTTTGTGACAGCATGGACAGCGTCCATTACACAGTCGGAAGCGCTAGCTGTACAACGCCGCGGTAGTGTACTCAAAATTTCCCTTCTCTGGTAAGAGTTTTCGACCAATAGTTCTCACGAGTGCTAACACAAACGGAGTTGGGTTGTTTAGCGTTGGAGACGATATCTTGGAATCTTGGCCTCCTAAGAGTTCCTTCACAACAGCTCTGGTGCAAGGCTATTAGATTACAGTCTTAGTAAACCTAAAATGGCGAACGAGTGTGAGAAGAATGTTTATCTTTCCAAGCTGGCTGAGCAAGCTGAGCGTTACGATGAGATGGCCTCATACATGAAGGCCGTGGCTCAGGAAAAACAGGAGCTCAGTGTTGAGGTAGGAGGGTGATACAAGGGAATAGGAGAAAGGATATTGCTCGAGCTCCTGAGATGGTCATTTCTTCTCATGTAGGAGCGCAACTTGTTGTCGGTCGCATACAAGAATGCTGTTGGATCTCGACGTGCTTCCTGGAGGATCGTCTCATCTGTCGAGCAGAAGGAGGCCTCTAAGGGTAACACTACCAATGCTGAGATCGCTAAGGGATACAGAGAGAAGGTTGAGGCTGAACTCCAGACAATCTGCGATGCTATCCTTGATCTTCTTGACAAGCCTCTCATTACTCATTCCCAGACTGGCGAGTCCAAGGTGTTCTACTACAAGATGAAGGGTGATTACTATCGCTACATCGCTGAATTCAGCACTGGCGAGAAGAGAAACAAGGCCGCTAATAATGCTGATCAGGCCTATAAGGATGCGACTGATATCGCTCAGTCTGAGTTGCAGGTTACTCATCCTATCCGTTTGGGTCTCGCTCTCAACTACTCTGTATTTTACTATGAGGTCTTAAACCAGCCTGAAGAGGCTTGTAAGATGGCTCGCAAGGCATTTGAAGATGCGATTGCCGAGCTCGATAATGTTAGCGAGGATAGCTATAAGGATTCTACGCTTATCATGCAACTCCTTAGAGACAACCTGACTCTCTGGACATCTGATCAAGATGGTGCTGCCGAGGGTGGTGCTCAATAATTCCTCTTCAAGGGGCGCTCTCTTTGTAACGGTGGGAGGGTTATGAATCTCGCATGTTCTTGGTGGTCAAGCTAGTTCTTTTTGTGTACACTTCAAGCTCCTTTTTCTATCGCCGCCTTGGAGAGGTGTTCCTAGTACTATCATTACTACTATTGAAAATTGGTGAGTGAGCTGATGCTATTGAGTGGTACTATCATATACGGATTATCTGGTATGCATAATCATACTACCACTTTTCGAGTCTCTGCCTTCATTCTTCGAGTAAGCTTTGTTGCGTATGAGGTATTCGCTCTTGAATGATGGCAGTAGCTGCTGTATCGATTACATCATATGAAGATGCTTTAACGAGGCAAAATGTGTTCCGTGTTGTTGAGTAAATAGTGCTGTAGGCGAATACCAAGTCTCGTGCATGAAGAGGTGCGCTGGCTGGATTGGGTCCATTGAACAGCTGAAGTTCAGACCACGTCGTCTACGCTTCACCACCAGTGATTTCATCAATGAGGATGTACGAACTAAACTCTACCAGATCAACCAAACCATATCACCGACGGTGTGCGAGGTCGCGACTGGGAGGGGAAGTTGGGAAAAGTTGGCTGGGGAAAGGGGGCATGAAAGAGTGAACTGACCGAGCTGTCGCGTTCGTGGAATTCTACTTGCCGTCGCAAAAGGTGTTGTTTAACAACGACTCTCCAAAAGCTCAACTCAGCTTTCTGCTCATATTCTAACTCGAAAGGAGCGCCTCACTCAGTCGTTAACCTAGAGTTGAGAGCAAAGCGGACTCAGTATCTCCAGAGACGACCTCCCCATCCGACAAGCCACGGAACCTCAGATCTTGATATAACAACTCGGATGGATGTGCATCAACATCTCCACACGGAATTCAGCACAACCAGGCAACAGACCCACCTAGGGGATTGCACCACAGCATCACTTTCATGCTTTCCACATTGACCCTCTTTCACTGATTACGTACGCACCTTACGATTGGCGAGTCTAATGCTTTTCTCGGTAAGCTGTTTGTCCATCGCTGTCCGTACCAAGATCATAAACCCTAACATCCCTAAGGTGTGGTATGAGACAGCGACTTTATTTTTTTCAGAGGGAACCCGTTCTGTTCCTGTCGGGGAAGCGTGGCTCTTCTCTCGGTAATGCTGCCACTCCTGACCTTCTCCCGTCTTCACGTCCATGTCTAGTACGAGGAGTGAGTATTCAAGTAACAGATACCCACTGGAATATTTCAAGGAATATAAAATGTCATGGTATTAAAGTTGGCATGTTCAGCGTGTTTTGGTATTAAGTGTAGTGTATTATTAAGGATAGTGATGCTTACTGATGAAGTAATTTTGGTAGTTAAGATATTTGCTTATGTTCAAGGGATAGTACTAAGGGTGAAAGAAATGATGAGTATACTAAACAATGCCTTATGACTTTACAGATAAGCGTCCCTCCTCCGAAGGGGAAACGGGTTCGAGCAACAGATGTGTGCGACCCGTT